AACCCAGAGGAGAAAATATTTGTAAACTTCATAACTGATAACGATTTAGTATCCAGAACATATAAAGAATGTTTGCAACTCAACAACAAAAAGACAAATAACCCAATTAAATAATGGGCAAAGAATTTGAATAGATGCTTTTTCCGAGAACATACAAATGGTCAACAGGCACGAGAAGGCACTCAACATCATTATTAGGGAAAAATCAAACCCATAATATATCCAGTAGGATGGCTAGAACCATAAGGACAGATAACAAGTGCTGGTGAGGATGTGAGGAAACTGGAACCCTTACGCATTGCTGATGGGAATGGAAAATGGTGCAGCTGCTGTCGAAAGCAGTCTGGCAGCTTCTCAAAGTTAAACACATTTACCATATGAGCCAGCAATTCCTCTCCAGTGTATACCCAAGAGAAGTGAAAACACACGTTCACACAGAAACTTGTACATCAGTGCTCACAGCACTAAGCATAATAGTCTCTGAATGGCAACAACCCAAATATCTACCAACCCATAATGGATAAATAAAATGTGGTAGGTCCATACAATGGAGTATTACTGGGCCATAAAAAGGGTTGAATTTCTGATACGTGCTATAACATGGATGACTCTTGAAAACACAATGCTAAGTGAAAGAAGCCAGACACAAAAGGCCACACACTGTATAACACCAGTGACATGGGGCACCCAGGACAGGCACATTCAGGGACAGAAAGCAGATTAGTGGTTGCCAGTGTTTAGGAGAGAGGGGAATGAGGAATGACTGCTGGTGGGCAGAGGTTTCGACTGGGGGTCATAAAAATGTTCCTGGAACTCAATAGTAACGGTGGTTGCACAAGATTGTGAATACACTAAAAGCTGGTGAGTTGGATACTACAATGTTTGAAATAGTGAATTTTCTCTCAAAACAAAAACTATCCACAAAAATTGTCTCCAAGCTGACCTCCAGGCGCTGGTCTGCTTCTCACTACAGGGTGGGGGTGATGTGGGATGAGTGAGGGGAGTAAACGGTAGGGCCCCCTTGCAGGTCCCAGCCATGCCCTCAGCCAGAGGATGATCTGACACCTCTGGTCATTGAGTAACCAATGGTCTGAAGCAGAACTTCACCCCAACCCTAGAAGGCCAGGGCCATCTCTGCGCCCACTTCCTCTTCACGGAGAGGGTCCTTGGGGTTGAAGCTGCTGCTTTTTTGCACAAGGTCTACCAAGTGCCAGGCGATGTGTGGATGTTTCTTCTGAGCCTCCTGTCCCCCTGGGAAGTCCTCCTGTTACAGTGGAGTCCAGGGCCCAGGAGGTGTGGTCCTGTGTTCTGGTGGCTAGGGTGGTGTGGAGCGTCGCTCGCCCAGGTGGGAGCCTGGTAGATGAGCCTGACCCTCCGCTTTCATCCTTCTCATCACAGGAGTTAGCACGGCGCTGCTGACTGATGGCCTCTTGGGCCACACTTCTCCAAACCAACAGCCTTTGAGGACCTACTGTGTGCCAGGCTTCCTGTGGAGTCTCTTACATACATCGACCACAGGATAGTCCCAGCCACACGTGCAGGCATTGCCCCATCTGAGGCTCTGGCTGTACCAGTTGGCAAAACAGCTGGACCCCAGCCAGCTCTGCCCAGCTTCAACCCTGTGCTTCCAATTCCTCCTGACCCCTGGTCCTAGAGCTCTAGGTAGGGAGATTCGGAATTTGGGAGGGCAGATGGTGGGGACAACTGTGAACCCTCTGGCCCTGTCTCTGGTGAAAATGCCAGGGAGTGTGGAGAGGGAAAGGAGTTTGAGTGGATGGTTCTCCTGGCTGGGGCACACTGGCATGGTGACCTGGGTACTGGGTTTGGGTTGTGCCTGGGATTCTGGGCCCACTGACTCGGCAGGCTGGAGAAAGAGGTGGTACGCCTGGGACCCTCAGCTGGGTGCCACGGTAGCCTTTTCCCAGCAGTGCCCTCAGAGAGGCAGGCAGAGATCTGGCACTGCTGGGGTCATTTGCAACCAGCACAACCCCCTACTAAGATCCCCATGGAGCCTCCCAACCTCCATTCCTGTCTCTGGTGCAAGGCAGCCCATGGCCAGCACTGGCTCCGTCTGCTCCTTGCCTGGGGAGCCCCTACTGCTGAGGAACACAGTCATTCGCCTGTGCCTCAGTGGGTCTGGTGACTAGTATGGGGAGAGGTCCTGAGCCGTGCCTCACTCCTGCACTCGCAAGCGATGAGGGACCTGTGGTCCTTGCTCCCCTGCCCAGCCACACACAGCTGATATTACCACCGAAGAGCCCTGCCCAGGCCTGCATTTGCCGGTGAGGTTTCACGTAGACAGCTCTGCAGGCTTCCAAGGGCCTTGTTCTCTCTCACATCCCAGATGGGATAGAGGTTGGGTAGCAGGCTGCCCTCCCAACGACTACTGGCATCTGGACCCCGGGCCTGGCCTGGTGCTGGACTCCCACTGCCCATCACGCTTCATTTGTGGTGAATTTACCAGTGCCACTGCCAGGCAACGGACTTCACACGTATTCTGTTTAATCCCCCAAACCTGCTGAAGTAGGTATATATATCCCTGATGAGCAAACAGGTTCTGAGAAGGAAAGGCCATGGTGCTCAGCTTCTTCAGAGGCTGCCTGGGACCCCTCAGCAGGGCCTGCAGTGCCCACCAGAAACAGCCTAGACTCGTTGGTTGGGACCCCACACATGGCTGTCCCCAGGGTTGAACTGGAGCCTGTCCCGCCGCCATGCGGCCAGGTCCTTCGGGGCTCCGCCTGGCACACCTCCCCGCCTGATCCCGAAATGGGGCGGATGGGGTGTGGGCTTCCTTGCAGCCTGTCCACCCCACAACCCATCCTCTGCGCTGCCCCCTCGCCCCGGCTCTCTCTGGGGATGCTCTCCTGACTGCTGCCTCTCCCTTCCCAAGGCAGGTGGGGAAGGCGGGCTGTGAGCAGCCTCCGTCACTGCCTCTTTGGGGTGGGGCGGGGCAAGGCAGGGACCCCTCTGCCACGGTGGGGGGAGGCTAGGTCCACTGGGTGGCATCCCTACTGCAAGCTAGATCCCAAAGAAAGGCCAGAGTGCCCGGGACTGATGAGCGAGACCCGGCCCTGGCTGGACTCCTGCGGCACGAAGAGGGCCTGAGCTACAGCACGGGGCACGCGCCCCCACACCACCACATGCCTTCCCCTTGGTCTGGCCCGCACTGCGGATGGACAGCAGCCTGAAGAACTCCCCCCGCCCACCCTCTCGTGCCCAAACCCACCCCCACCCAAGGGGTTCATGCTGTTCCTTCCAAGCTCTCCTGTGGTTTGGAGGGAGGGGGTAGCCACAGCCCAGAAACCCCAACTCCTCTTGGGGTAGAAAGCCTAGGTCAGTATCTGCTGATGCCTGACTTAGTCCTGAGCACTGGGGTGCAGGGGTGAGGCAGGAGCCAAGCGCTAAGGTCACAGCCTAGCTCTCAGGAGCAGCAGATAGGCCTGGGTCCTGCTGGGGAGGCAGGGATCCCTGTATACCACCAGCTGTGACAGTCACAGGATGGGGCAGAGTGGAAGCCTGAGACCAGGAGGTAAAAAATCCCAGGCAGGAGAGCTGAAGCCTGGGCCTGAACTTCCTGCCCAAGAACACCCTTGAGGAAGCATCATGTTGAACCTGCTCACCCCAGTAGGCTACCCTGGGGTGGCATCTACCAGCCCAGCAAGTCCCTGGCCCCAACATGCCCCTGGCCTTCTTCCCCCACCTGCTCTGTCATGGAGAGAGGTCCCTAGCAGGCTCTGGGCTTCCACCCTGCAGATCTACTTGTCCTAGAATGGGCCTGCTTCCTATGGAAATTTCTAGAATAGAGGCTACTCCATCAAGTGAGGGGCCTCCTCTGGGGTCTCCATCCCCACAGTCTAGCTTAACAAAGGGGCTTTACATGTTGGAACAGGGTGGGTGGGGAGCTGGCACCTACCAGCGCCAAACAGCAGACACCTTTCTGACTTGTCCCCTTGGCCATTCCCCAGAGCCCAGAGACTCTGGGACTTCCTGGGTTCTAGGCCCAAGCTGTCAAATCATGACAAATAGCCCCTTCTTGGAGCAGCTGGATGAATGGCAAGAATTCTATTCTTCACGTTCCTTGGCAAAGATTCCACAGTCCTCAGGGAGCCTGGGAGGAGTCTGGGGGACAAGCTAGCATGCCAAGGGCTGGGGTCTGCCCAAAGGCAGAGGCCAAAGTGTCCTCTGTGCTCCCTGCCCCTCAGCTGGCACTTGTAGTCCACAACAAGAAGGGAGGAAGCAGCCAGGACAGGCTGGAGTCAAGGCAGGACCAGGGCTGCTTTCATGCAGTGAAGACTTTTTTTTTTAGTTGGAATCTCACTTTGTTGTCCAGGCTGGAGTGCAGTAGCATGATCACAGCTCACTGCAACCTCAACCTGCTGGGCTCAGGTGATCATTCTGCCTCAGACTCCTGAGTAGCTAGGACTACAGGTGTGCCACCACAACTGGCTAATTCTTTGTAGAGATGAGGTCTCATTATATTGCCTAGGCTGGTCTTAAGCTCTTGGCCTCGAGCAATCCTCCTGCCTCAGCCTCCCAAAGTACTGGGATTACAGGCGTGAGCCACTGTGCCTAGCCAGAGACGATTTTTGAGGCTGGCAGGAACAGAGGAGAGCAACTGGCACTTGAACCAAGTGGGGATGGGGCCTTCGCTGACTTCCTGGGATAGGACTGCTCCTGTCCTGTCCCCAGCCAGGGCAGCAGAGCCTGGCACCCACCCCCTTGGATACTGGTGCCAGCCCAGACTGCCCCATTTTACCCCCACCCTTGAGCCCTCCAGGTTGAGATGAGATCCTCTACCCTTCCTCCTGGGGTAGCAGGAGGGTGGGTAGGACAGAGGTCATGGGTGAGGACGTGTAGCAGGTGGGTGCTGAAGTCCAGCCTCCCCAGTTCAAACCTCCCGAAGGCCAGGGCAGAGACGGCTCAGAGTGGCTCGGGCTGGGGACCTGGTTTAAAAACAAATCCCGGAAAAAAAAAAAAAAAAGAACAAGAATAAGCAGAGGCCTGTGTATTCATGGGTGGACGGGGAAGCTGTGGGTGTCCGCACAGGCTGGCAGCTCAGCCCACCTGGCATGTGAATCCCAAATCCCTCTGTGGGTTCTGGAAAAGCAGTCTCACACACTCTCAGGGTGTGGCACTCAGTCCTGTGGAGATTTGTCCTCTGCTGAGATACCATGGCCACAGCCCACCAGCTAATGCCGGACCCTACTAGGAGCTGGGCTGTGCCAGCTGCTTCCCCATAGGGTGGTACAGTCAGTCTTTTTGTGAAGACTGGGTACTTTACCTGCAGCTGTGGGGTGAGGTTCCCTGAAATCCCTAGAGGTCAGCCCCCTTAGGGGTGGTCACTGTCCTGAGGCCAGAGTGCAGTGACCAGTGGCCTTTGCATCTTCATGGTGCCCAGCTTCACTTGACGGCCAGCCCTGGCCCTACTGTTTCTGGCTGTGAGGCTTTCAGGTCCATCCTGGAGCCTTGGCTGTTGTCTTCTGAAGGCCTGCCCTCACCTGTGAACTCTCTTGAGCCTTCTTTGGGGCATGCCCTTGGCCTATGCAACTTCTGGCTCCTGGTAATGACACTGAGAAAGAGATAGCATCAAACGCCAGTGAGAGCCCAAATCCCCCTCGCTCCCCAGGTGGTCCCAGGAAGCTGCCACTTATCTGGTCCTCGGGGTCTTCCATGGCCCAGGCCACAGGGCTGGGCAGAATGTGATGCACCTGGCACTCAAGCTGGTCAGTTCCCAACTCTGGGAGAGCTCAGGGGTCCCAGCTGCCTACTCCCTCAGTACTCAAAGTAGCGTAGGAAGGCCTACGAGCAGCCCTGGCTTAGGACAATGAGGACAAAGGAAGTGCAGCACTTGACTAACTCATCACAGGGAGGAGCTGCATGAATCCCAGGCCTGGACTGGGGTTCAACTGGTTGTGCAGGACTGGTCATGACTGACCTCAAAGCCACGCATTTTCTGTGGAGCCCATACCTTGGCTCACGTGGACTGAGAAAGGCCGGGGACAGCCCTTTAGGGAGGTGGGGTGTGGAGCATGGTCTGAGGGCTTTGAGGGGAGAGTGGCATTTCTGGAGCGTTCTCACTCGACTAGGAGTCCATGCCACTCTCCTTCCCCTTTAAAGGTTTCTCCTGTGTCCCTTACCTGGCCTGGCCCTGCACTGTCTGCTCTGAGCCACAATACTGCAGCAGGGAGAAGCTGAGTCCAAGAAGCAGCCCCATGTAGGCATCTGCAAGATGATGCCTCACTGCAACTGCCCCAGCCTCCTTGGGCACTCACCTCTCCTGCCCGGGTACAGGTGTCCCAGGGAGCCCCAGGGTCCTGCGGATGTACTCTCGGGAGCGGATGTCAGCCTGGAGGAGATAGACACAGTGCTGGGTCCTGAGCTGGCTTTTGGACAAGCCCTCCCCACCCCAAACAGCCTGGTGGAAACACCTTAACTCCTCCACAGGGCAGAGTTGTGCAGGCTCAACCCTCCAGAGATTGGGAGCAGCAGCCTCATTGGGGAGTGGGTGATGGGGATACCAAGAACCTCGGAGTCAAAGCCTTGCAAGTTTCCAATGCGAGCTGGGCAGTCCCTGAAGGGCCTGAATAGTTGGGGGTGGATGGGTGAGTGTGGGAGTCCAGGGTCTACTCCCCCCAAGTGGCAGCTGCAACTGCTCAGCTTTCACTGGTTTACAGCTTGTATTTCTGTCTTTCCCAGACTAGTACCAGTGGTGACTCCTGTCCTGTCTCCAGAATCACCAGAATAAAAGAGGGCTTGTGGGCCACAGGTAGGGATCAGGGTAGACCCTGGTGGGGAAGGGCATAGACAGGGCTCAGGTCTGAATGGGAACTCCTTTGTGGGGGCCTGGCCTTGGGAAGCTCCCCTGATCCCAGCTCAGATGGGCTTAGCTTAGCCTCAGGGTTGCACGACTAAAGGACAGCAACAGCTAATCCCCCAGACTGCGCCTGCTTCAGCTGATGGGAGAAGATGGGCAGGGGTGGGCAGCAGGATATTTGGTGGGTAGGCACACTTGGGGGGAGGCAGCATTTCCCAGCTTCCCAGGAGCAGTCCAGCTGGCCTGGCACCGGGAATGCAGCAGCGCCTGACCAAGGGGCCCCCAAGATGGCTGGGGCAGAGATAGAGAAGGGAGGGGAGGGAGGGGGTCCCTAGGGCCTCATGCCATCAGAGAGCAGACACTAACCCCATCTCCCAGACTCTTCTGGGAACTTCTGGAAGTAGAGTTGGGAGGGGAAACTGTTCAGAGGCATATGGGCTCAGGAAGAAAATGGGCCCAGAAACAGAGCTGGGTCCGGCAGACAGGACTCTCAGCCCATGCCCAGCAGTGAGACCACAGGTTCTTGGGTACAGCATAGGGTCACACATCCTATCCAACTGCTGGCTTTTCTTTCTCTGGAGTGAAGACTCAGAGTGTGGCAGGCTCTTCACTGGTGTTAGGCACACAATCCTTGCCCTATTTCTAGGTGTTCAAGATACCTTACAGGACAGCTGTTCCCTCTCCAGCAAGGGGGAGGGGGAGGGAACACTGTCCCACTCTGAGGCAAACTGAGGGTGCGAGAGACAGAGGCCTGCTCTACCGTGCCCAGAAGGTCTGTCCAGCATGACCTTGAGCTGGGGGCCGAAGGCTTGGGGAGTTTCTTGGGTTCTCAGAAGGCCATGTGGCTGGGTTGAAATGGACAAGGAAAGGCTTCTTTCCCGGGAACAGGGACACAGCTCACAGGCTTGAGAGTCCACACACGGCGCGCCCCGCAAAGCCCTGGACATGGAGCCAGCAGGGTAGTGGCTCTCAGAGGCCACCTCTGGGCACAGCACCCCTGGGACTGAGCGCTGCTGTGGCGGTGTGCGGGCTGCTGCTGCCCCCTGGAGGCCACACTGCATGCCAGCAGTTGGGAGGCAGTTGTGGTCTGGGGTGTTTTCCACAGCACTCAAGCTGCCCCAGCACAGGCTGCCGGTCAAGGGCAAATCTGACAGTGTTCCCCTATCAACTCCCAGCCATCAGCTGCTCCAAGTTACTGTGAGTGAAGTCTGACACCCGATGCACCCCAAGACGCTCACTGGCTCCCACCCACTTCACTGTTCTGGCTGCAGCCACACTTTCCCCCAAGGTTCTAGAGCACATCACACTCCTGCCTGCCTGTCCCAGGGTCTTTACAAATGCGACCTGGGCCATCCTTACCTCTCCTCTAGTCCCTCCAGTCAGTCTCTTCCTAAGGATGGCTGTTCCTGGAGCCTTACTTTATGGGCTTCTCTGGAACAGACACTGGCCTGTGACTTGTGAACCTGGCCAAGACTCAACACACCAAGGCTGGCTGTGGGCATCCTGTGCCCAGCTGTCTGTCCCTCACCCCACAGGCTGAGTTCTTTCTTAGCTAAGCCTATGACTTTATCAGAGTTTTGACCCCTTACCTGGGCCCTGAGCATCAGTTTAGGTGCTGGGTGCCTGGTATGGCCATACCTGAGTCCCCAGATTAGTATTCCTGGTGCTCCACAGCCTTCCCAACAGGGCCTCCTGGCCTGAGCTTGGCTGCTCCCTCTAGATCCTGAGGGGCTGGTTGGGGACAAGGGAGACAACCTGCCACTTGAACTGACATAACTGATTCTCCAAGTACTCCTAGTATTTGGGTGCAGAAGGCTCAGAGGGAACTCTCGGCCTAGGCAGGCAGGGTCTCGGGATGATCTCCTGGGAGTTCTGCATCCTCTGGTCCACTTTCCAGCCTGCAGGGCCCTGCACAGGACAAACAGGCTCTCCTGTGAGATGTCTGTGGACCTGTCCTCTGCCCAGATCTGCTGCCTTACATCATTGTGCCAACCCCAGCTGGGCTGTTGGGGAGCTTGTGAAGAGAAGGTAGCAGGGAACAGAGGGGTGCATGCTGCCCCCCCACCCCAGCACCCCACTTCCTGCAGCCCACCAACCTGGCGCACTGGCTCTGGGATCCGGAACCTACAACAGTGGCGGGTCAGGCGCACGGCTGCCTCCAGGCTCATCTTGTGGCCCACGGAGACGTAGAGGGGCTTGGCGCTGCGGTCATGGCTCTTCAGGGCCTGTGCCAAGGAGGTTGAGGGCAGGCCTGTGGGATGGGCTGGGCCACTGGGACTGGGGTCAGAACCAGTCTCAGTAGATGAGCATAGGCGGGTAGCAGGAAGGAACCTGAAGGGTACGGGGCACTCTCAGGGGCCAGGGGCTCCCAGCCCTCAGAGTGCCTTTCTTGTTGCTTGTCCCAGGGGCAGGGTGGACCCCCCTCAGCACAACCGGAGCAGGGGGAGAAAATTAATGTACACACTGTAACCCAGGTCCAGTCAGAGTGACACAATAATGGAGAGATGAACAGGGTCTGATGTGGGCATGTATGTCTGCATGTGTGTGTGCATGTGCACATAAAGGAGGCCCCTGCCTGGGGCCTTGGTGGGACTGGGGCCCTAGCCACTCACCATTCCCAGGATAGTCCCAGAGCCTCCCATCAGAGGGAATGTATCTCCTCCAGCCTGCAGGAGTTGTATCTGGAAAATGGAAAAAACAACTTGAAGAAAAACTTTTCTTGCAGAGGCTGAGGCAAACTTCATTTTGAAAACTTAAGCAGTGGCTGGGCCAGGAAAGGGAAGGGCCAGATCTTGGATGGCAGGGTCTGGGCCCTGCACTGAGGCCACTGCCCTTGGGACCCGGTCCAACCCTGACTTCGGGGGCTTAGAAAGGGTGGCAACTTGCTGAGGGTCACAGCGCTAGGCTGGCAGCTATACAGGTGCCACATGCTTCCCAGTGGGCAGTGACCAGCACTAAGGCTGCATGCTTCCTGCTACTTTCTCTTCTGCTTTGGGCAAGTCTTTTTCAACTAAACAAACCTTTTTTTTTTTTTGGAGTGGGTAAAATGAGTGGCCCTGGGGTCCCCATCAACTCAACTTACTTTTGAGCAACTGTTCCAAACAGGCACCAGAGAGCGGGCCTGAAGGAATGAGAAGTGTGGTCTCTGCCATCCAGTGGAGAGCTGGATATGTCACTGGCTCCCTCCAGGGGGGGTGTCACATTCTAGTGCCAGACTTAGGGGTCCAGAGGGAAATGCGGGAGAAGGTAGTGTGAGTTAGAGTGTGGGTGGTGGGCAGGCCTTGGTGGGAGTGGGCATAAAGACAGGCGGGGACATGGAGGCAGGACCTGGAGGCTGCGGCACCTGTGTTGGGTAAAGGCAGGGGGTGGCAAAAGCACCAAGTGCCACTTGGACAGCCTGGAGACCTGTTGTGTCCCCAACAACTGGAGGACTGAAATCTACTTGGGGTGCCACGAAGATGACCGGGTCAGGAGAGGCAGCACACCCACGAGTGGGGAGGGGAAGGAATTTCCCACCATGACCACTCCCTGCGTGACATGCAGAGAAAGGCACCAGACCATGACCCAGGAAAAAGGAAGGGGGTGTGAGCAGGCAGGGGTTGGGCCAAAGTTTCCCTATACCCAGCACTATCCCAGCACCCATTACTGGGCCGCTGGACTCCATCCACAGATCCCTCTTTACCTTCTCCCTGTGCAGGGCATTATTCTCCAGTCCGTCTACCTGCAGAAGTTTCTTGGCCACCCCAATGCAGGGCAGATCTGTAAGGACGCCAAGGTGGCAGGCCACTCCGAAGCCTGGAAACATAAGAGGGTGGGTTGGGCAGCAGCAGTGAGCCACACAGCTGGCGCAGAGATTAGTGACCAGCAGGAATCTCAGTGAGAGCTTCTTCAGTAAGCAGAGGTCTGTGGACAGCCAGAGGACTGGGAGGCAAGACCAGAGACCCAAGCTGACCCGGGACAAGGCCCTGTGCCCTGACTTCCTGGGTATGAAGCTGGGTGGCTACTACTTCTTCCTGGTCAGCCTCTGCCCTGGTCAGGTCAGCCGCATCACTGGCGGTCCATAACACCTCATTCTACTTCATTTCCAGCACCTCCTCTCCCCTGGACAGCCACCCTCAGGCCTCCACAACCTGGGACCCCTGCCTGACAGCCTGGATTGCAGTGCTGTGATCCTGAGCCCAGGAGTGGCCTGCTGGTTCCAGCATGAATGTCTACATCAGTGCGTGTCTACTCTTTGGCTCTGCACCCAAGGGCTTCAAGGGCAGTGGCCAGGAATGCCCAATGTCCCCCCATCCTGGCCCCTCTCTGGGAGCCGTTGCTATACCGTCCTCACATTTATATGAGAGTAAAAGAGCCCACTCCACTCAGTGGTGCTATGTGGGCCAAGGTTCCCAGTATTGGCAGGAGCATGGGCACTTCTGTCTGGTATTGAACAAGGGCTTGACGGGCAGATGCAGGGTGGGCAGCCAGCAGGAAGGCTACTCTGAGCTTGGGTCCTGTGATGTCTCACAGTGGTCAGGTCAAAGCTGGGTGGTGGTACCTGAGGATGAGCCAGCATAGGGTGCTGTGGGAGAGGTAGGGGCAGGAAGGAAAGAAGTAGGGAGTGAAGAGAATGCAAGGGGCCCTTTTCTGGGTCGGACACTGCATGTCCTGCTAGCACAGTGTTTTGCACAGGGCATGACAGAGGTGCCCTCTCCCCAGTCTCTCCCTGGCCCTCTCTTACGGGAGCACGGTTACCTTGGTGGTGGAGCACCCCGTTTCCATCCACAAGAAGAACCTACAGAGCCACAGGGAGAGTCACGGTCAGCTGAGCTGCCCCACAGTCTCAGACTGGGGCTGTCCCTGGGGGAGAAAGGGGGCACTGCCACTTGTGGGATCTAGCCTTTTAGAAAACCTCACTCTCCTCCTCTAGGAAGCTCTTGAGGTCCCTCCCTGCTATATGGGTGATGGTGGTAGCCTGCACGGGGCCTTCCCTCTCCCAGGGGAAGTGAAGGTCCTGTCCTAGGACCGAGGCACCTGCCTGGGGCATGAGGCCTGGTTCCATCTCCTGCAACCGCTGCACGGCCTCCACCAGGAAGGGCACCTCTCGGAAGGCCAGGAAGCCCGACACGTAGGGCGCTGTCAGGCTGACCATGCGGCTCTCCTCATACACCACCTGCCACCAAGCACGTGGGTCAGCGGGTGGGTGTGGCCCTTGGCCGCCTGCCCCCCACACCCTCCTCTCTGTACCCCTGCTCTTCACTCTTCCATGTCAACAACTTTTCCTCCCCCCAACCTCACCCCCACAGCTCCTTTTCTCTGCCTCTCATATCGGGTGGGAAAAAAAAGATGATGGCTTTGAAAGAAAGGACTCTGATTTGCTCTGCAAATCGATGGAGGGGATTCAACTCGATGTTGCTTCAGAGGAGCCTCCCCCACCTATGACTTGGTCTGTATGAAGTCTCCTCCTCACCAGGACCCAGTTTGCAAGAGGAGCCCCTTGGGACCTGATTTCTATCAGGAGTTAGGCTCAGGGTGGTGACCAGCCTACCTGCCTGCCTCTTGCCCTCCTCCTCTGTAAATGAAAGATGATACCTCCTCTGTCCACTCCCATAGGTTATTGGAGGCTCAAAGAAGACAGCACAGGAAGCACCTACATACAGTGCAATGTGAATAAAGGCATTATCGCATTTACATTAGATGGGATCTTGGGGGAAGGCCATGTCCTCAAAGAGGTTGCAAGAGCAAGACAGAAAATGCTGGCTTTATCGAGAGACTTCAAACAACTCAGAAACAGGACAGGAACAATCTCAGAGCTAGACAACCTGAAAGAGAATGGAGATCCCAAAGGACAGGACAGTCTAAAAAGGAAAAACTCTCAAGTTGCAAATAATCCTACAGAGAAAGAAGGGGAGGATGCTGCCCCCAGGACGAGAGGTGGGACTCTCAAGAGCTGTCAAAAGTGCAGCTGCCTTTCTTAGGCAAAAGTGTCTTTAAAACTAAAAAGGCCCTAACACCCAGTATGAAAGAGGATGGCTGTTAACTCCTGGTCAGAGCATCAAAAGAGATATGCTTAGAGTACAACGTGGGCCTGAGTCTCCTAGCCTTGTGTTTTCTTTAGAGTCAGACTGGCCTTAACCTGGAGACACGTTTCTTACTATGCACACATTCTCCACTCAACCTTCCTATGTTTTTGTTACTGAATCTACCACATCTTTTGGTGACAGCTTCCAAGTCACAACTTCCATTCCTCTCTTGAGGCTCAATCAATAATTAAATGTACCTAAGATAAATGGGTACTCTGTATCAGGAGGGCTAGGGCTTGTCCTGTCAACATTTCTATCAATGACTGAATAGGAAACTTATCAAATCTGCCGGTGACTCAAAGTTCAGAAGGTCCAATCTGATGACAGATAAGAGAATTTGGATTCATAGTGAAACCAGGAGGCTGGATTGCTAAACCTCGCAACAACAAAGTGACTTACAGGGATACACGTGGAACTCAAGTGTGGCCCGAGATCCCACAGGATGGTGGCAGCTGCTTACGTCTAAATCTCTCTGCACAAGCTCCAAAATCCAAAGAGTAAAGCAAAAGGAAGAGACCCTCTACTCCCCAGCATAACCTGTGCCTATTACACAGGTTGGTGTGCATTGCTGCGGGGAAAGAAACTGCCTAGGCAGAAGAGCAGCCTTGGGCAACACTCTGGGCAGAGGACTTATGGGGGCCAGTGAGAGGGAGGGGACTGCAACTACAATAAGAGCCAGTGAGGAGACAAAATGAAAAGAAGAGAGAGATTAAAATACTGACAGAGAAAGCAGGTGGGCACAGGAAGCCCAGTGCATGCAAGGTGGGAGTTCCTGAATGGGAGGAACAAAGCTGTGAGCCGAACTCACACACAAAACCAACGTTTAAAACTAGAATTCAAGAAACTTTCCCCAAATAAAAGAGCTGACCTCATATATTGAAAAGAGTTGATTGTAAACCTGGGAAAACAGATCCGGCACGGTCAACTCAAGATATGTCTTAGTGGGAAAAAAAGGAATAAAAGAAAACAAGCAACATACTGAACACAAACAAGTCCCACAAATAACATACTTATGTTCCAACAGTGAATTTAACAGATCAGAAAACAGAATGAAGCCCACTTACAGAGCCATAACGGGAACAAGTGGGGTGTAGCCCCCCAGGTCCCCAGTTTTCTGTGTCTTGACTGAACATATAGAGTACTTTGACCTGCCAGTTGTAGGCTTTCCCAGTAGGCTTGAACATCCCCAGGCACTGACAGAGATATCTAGGTTGTTGCCTAAGGACACTGAGCCAAACTCCTTAAAGCCTCATGTAAATACTATCCCCTGACCCTTTGCTGTGGACAGACATAGGCAGAACATCCCTTTCTCTCACTGTCTACCTTGAAGGGCTCCTGCACCCGACTCTGTATGTTCTTCTAATCAATGCCCTGGACTGATCACCCTGGCATTTAGTGCCTCTTTTTCTGGAATCCCAACTGGCCCCAACTTGGGATGGTTTAAAGCACTCTGTGTGGGAATTCCTGCTGCCATTTTTGGGGCAATTCTAGCCACAGGCTCAACAGGATGAAACATGGGGACAAGTGAAGATGTAGTGGGATTCAGGTGATATTATGGGGCTATTATAAATTTTCACAGGTATGATAATGACACTGCAGCTTTGTAAGAGAATGTCATTCTCCAGATAGGCCTGCTGATACACTCAGAGGTGAGCTGTCACAAGCGCTGGGAATGTACTCTCAAATTGCTCAGTAAACACACGCACACACACAACATGACAAAATCAGTCACACCTGAGTCTCAGTAGAAGGCATATAGGTGTTCGATAGAATTTTTTTCAGTTTTTTGGCATGCTTGTACATTTTCAAATTAAAAATCTGGGAAAAGAAAAATCAATTGTGTGATTAGTGTGTGGGCCAGATCTGGATGGCCAGTAATCTCTGAGAAGATCTGAAAGTTTCAATATAAGCTAAGGATGTGGTGTCCCCTAAAAAGTCAAGTGTTTTAAGTGGCACTGTCAAAAATGATGTGTGTGACTGTTCGGTCAACAAAATTGGTGAGACCTATATTGGAGGTACTGTGCTCAATTCTGCGTGCCAGGTGTCAAGATGGACTGTGCTAAGGGAGGACATTGCCAGAGGGCCATCAGTGAGTGAAGGAGCTGGAAATCTCTGCAGGCTCTTGGGACATAGCAGGCAAGAAGGAGCACATAGCTGTTTCTGGCAGGAGAAAGGCTGACAAGTAGAAGGTTGGAAATATTCCTTCTGTGTTTTGCTGTCTGAAGGCAGACTGACTGGCAGAAGTCACAGACAAATATGTTTCAGCTCCCTGTGGAGAAGAATTCACTAGTCCTCATTCAGTGTCCAACTATGGAATGGACTCTAATGTAACATCCTCATTTGTGAGGGATACTAAGGATAGGATTCTTCACTGTGTGAAAGGTGGACCAGGAATTCCCCAACTCAGTTTTGCTTCTGAATCACAAAGAAACTTGCTTCAAAAGGCAGATTCCCAAGCTGTACTCTGGAAGACCCACCCCGTCAAGTAAGTGCAGTGGGGCTCTGGAATCTGTATTTTATTTTTTACAGATTTACTGAGATATGATTTACAAACTATTCACTTGCTTAAAGTGTATAATTCAATGGTTTCTGGAATTTAGAGGGTTGTACAACTAACACCATAATCTAATTTTACAACATTTCCCTAATCCCCTAAATAAAACTTGTACCTATCCACTCCCCATACATTATATCCCCAGGTCTATGCAACCACGAATCTACTTTCTGTCTCTATGGATTTGCCTGTGGAATCTGTTGGAAACACACTTCCAGGTGATTCTGACTCTGTGGGTCCACAATCAGGCATTTGGGGAACTGTTGGACTAGATTCTTCCAAGAGCTGTTCCTAGTCTAAGCTTTCACAGCCAGGGACAATGAATGTTGACTGACATCCCAAGTAGCAGGCACTTTGCTTGGTGCTGGGGTTGCAAAAGAAATATGGTACAACCCTACCCTTGAGAACCTACAGTCAGTGAGAAAGACAGAATCATAAACAACTAACTTTAATACAATGTAAGAAATGCTATAGCAGCTCTTGCATTAAAAAGAGGCCTGGTACACAGATGAAGGGGTGATTAGTTCTGCAGCCAGGGAAAGCTGGAAGAAGAGAATGCTGTGTTAACTGCTTTCCATGCATGATTTCATTTATTCCTCACCACAGCTCTGAGAGTTGGATATTAATACCATTATCATCAAGTTAGAAAAAAGGCGGGGTGGAGTGGGAAGTGGCAGCACTGGGGTATAAACATGAGCAGTCTAGCTCTGAGACTGTGCTCTCACCCCCATTCTAGCCTATAAAATGGCCGAGGAACCCTTGGGGGCAGGGACCACTGAATATTCAGATGTTAGCATATAGCAGGCACTGAACACATTTCTGTTCAATTTGGACTGAAAAGGACCTTCCAAGTAAAGCACAAAGCCATGGAGGCAGGAAGAGGTTTGTCATCTTTGGGAGCTGGCAGAAGAGAAATGAGAGGGAAACTCTTAAGCTGAGGTCCAGCAAAGGCATCCTTGTCAAACTTTCCTTTAGGCAAGGCTTCCTGAGCTGCTGACTCTAAATGAACCACGAGCATGCTGTTCATTTATGCACATATCTATTTTAAAAAGATTCAAGCATCTTCTGCATGCCAGGCACAGAGCTAGGTGCTGAGAACACCACTGGTGGGCAAAATGACTGTGGCATTTATACTCTGCTAGGGGAGACAGGCCAATTCCAATCCAGTGTGACAAAGAAGTAGTAGAGGGTTTCTATGGTCTAAATGTTTATGTCACCCCAAAATTCCTGTGTTGAAACTATAACCCACAAGGTGATGGTATTAACAAGCGGGACCTTTTGGAAGGTGATTAGAGCATCACGTGAGGACAAAGTAAGAAGTTGGCAATGTGCAACCTAGAAGAGGGCCCTCACCAAAACCTGATCATGCCGGCACTCTTACTCAAACTCAGCCTTCAGAACTGTGAGAAGTACATTTCTGTTATTTGAAAGACACTCCATCTATTTTGCTATAGCAGCCCTAATAAACTCAGACAAGGTGCTGAGGGGCAACTCCTGGTCTTATGGGATGAGGGGACTTATTGGAGGAAGTAATGTCAAAACTAAGCCCTGAGAGATGAGTAGGACTAGCCAGGTGAAACATACTCCAGGAAAGAAAACACTACTGCAAAGGTCAGGCAGACAAGTACAGCATGGCACATTTAAGGGAATCAAAGTGGGTTTCAGGGTGTGGGAGAGACAGGGTGATGATGAGAACTAAGCCTATAGTTAAGCAAAGGGATAGAACATGAAGGGCCTTTAAGCCACTTCAATAAGAGTAAATTTTTACTTACTGTGAGATCATGCAAAGGGCAATGAAATATTTTAAGAGGATTTGTGGTGACAAGTTGCTTTTTAGGAAAATATTTGCTTTTTAGGACAATTGCTCTGTTGGCAGTACAGAGAAGGGACTGCCCAGGAGCAATACTTAAGGCAAGATTTTCATAAAAATACAGCCCAGGAACTTACAGGAGGGGTGACGGCAGCACAGCTAGGGAAGGGGCAGAGGAAGATATGGACAAGGGGATAGATTCCAGCAACATTTAAGAGGCAGAAAAAGAGGGCTACTGTGCCAGTGGATGTGGGACAGGGGAGAGGCCCAGGAAGACAGATTTCTGGCTGGGAGTGTGGTCAATGAATGAGGAACCCAAGATGATAATCCGACTTGGAGGTAAACATCATGAGTTGATTCTTAACAATCACAGAATTTCCTTAGTTTTTGCCTTTTCCTCCCTTTCCAAGACTCCCCAGCCTATTAACGAAATTCTATCAAAAAAGAAGCTGGGTTCTACCCCAGCACTGTTCCCTGCCTCTTCTAGCTGCGGCTATTCCACGCCGGAGCCCATAGAGGGGCCAGCATCCCTAACGGGTTACCTCGAGCTCGGGGTAGCTGAGCACGACGAGGGAGGCACAGGCGCGAACGCTGTTCCCTTTCACGAAGGACACGTCAACGCCCCCGATCCTCTGCAGGCCCGAGAAGTCGGGGTCCCGCTGCCACGCTTCCGTGTCACGGTCTACGACGCGGGTCTTCAGCCGCGCTTGCTCCCTAAGAGGACAGAAACACCAAGTCGAGCCAGGACGCCATCCCAGACCCTCCCGTCTCTACCCGCGTGGCCGCAGGGTACAAAGCCAGTCCTTGCCGGGGATTATCTCCTCTCTTCGAGGGGAGGGCAAGGCACACACAGGCAAGGCGACAGCCCCCGGGCCCCCTGAAACTGCAGTCGAGGTGCCACGCTAAAGGTAGGTGTGCGGAAAGTACTTGGGAGTCAACTGCTGGGCTGTCTACACCCGGGTGACTCTGACAGGGGTCGGAGGAGCGGAGAAGGGACAGAGCCGGACCACACGCGTGACCGGAAGCGGGCGCCGCGCCCCGACGGCTTCCGCAACTGCCGCTCCGACTCCATAGCCGGGAGATTACGAATACGGAGGGTCCGCGGAGTGCCGCGTAGCCTCAGCCTCCGCCTGCCGCGCGTCGCCCGACCCCATTACCGTTTCCAGAGTGAGAGGGTTTCCTCCGGCGGCCGTACAGTCGCCTCCAGAGCCATGGCTGGATCCCACGCGCCTTTTCCGGCGACGTCACTTCCGGAGGCGCCCTGCGCAGGCGTGCCCGCCCTCGTTGCCATGGAGGCGCTGTTGTTGCTGCCGCCGCCAGGGGCCGCTTTCCCTAGCCAGTCTACCTGCGGTGTCCTCAGACACATGTGGCCACTTCGCAGGAGCCCCACGCACACAGTCGGCTTCAAGCTACCTCCGGGCCACTGCATGCGTTATTCGGACCCTGAGAGGCCGAATAACGGGGCTCCCCGTTTCCGTCGGACAGCCGTAACCCGGGGGTGAGTGAGCTCCCGGATCCCTTGCCTGCCCCGCGCGGCGCCTCTCTTGTCACAGCGTCCAGCGCTGTGCTCTGTAGGGCAGAATGACCACTTGCTCTGTCGAGAGCCAGTCAGGCTCGGCACCTCTGGTTTTGGAAGAGGGTGGTCCCTTCCCCGCTCCTCTGGCCCGTGTCAGAGTCGCTCACTGGGGTCCATGACAGCCCAGCGGTTGCCTCCCAAGTAATTATTGAGCACCTGCCATGGGCATGGCACCTTGATTGCAGTTTCAGAGACGATCCTAAAGGTTTTGAGGACAGCTCTTGTGTATTTCACTAACTCACAGCGCCTTGGGGGACTGGACTCACAGGGGGTTGGAAAATTGGACTGGGTTTCATCTGGGCTGGACCATGCAGGGCAGAACGCCTCACCTACCAAAGGAAATACAACCTGGAGATGCTGATTCTCACCTCGTGCTCCTCAGTTTAATGAATATTTATTCAGGACTCTCTTTGTGCCACGTGTTGTGCCGGTTCCTGGAGTTATAGTGTCCTCATAGTAATTTCTGTCTCATGAGGGACAGGAAGGTGTGTGAATATGTAATACAATTGTGATAAGTGCTGTGAGTGAAAATAATAAATATGGGGGGGGCTGACTCCAAACTGGTGGTTGCGGAAGGCCTTTTTGAGGAGGTGATATTTAAGAGACCTAAAGGATGAGTAGGAGAGAGCATGCCAGGCAAATGGAACAGCATGTGTGAAGGTCCTGGGGTAGGAAAGCGTCAGTGTATTTGAGGTACTGCTTTCAGTGAGGCTGAAGTGTAACGATTTAACCTGTGGTTTATATTCTCCTAGAATTCAGAAAAGTATATAAGTAATATAGTCTGAATATAAATTTCAAGAGGCAAATACAGAAGACAAGATTAATTTAGACTCTAGAGTTTGAGGTTCAGGGAAGGCTTCGTATAGTGTGGGCGGCTGACAGAGCCTTGAAAGCATGGCCTGCTTTCTGCTGGGAGACTGAGCATCCATGGCCCATGGGCCCTGTACTCCATTATTTATTTGCAGTACCTTATTTCCACAGCACTGAGAGGTACAGATGAGAAAACTGAGGCTTAAAGAGGTCAATTGGCTTGCCCCAGGTCATAGATCTGACAAATGGGAGAGTCAAGATTCACACTCAGGCCCGTTGCTGTGCTGTGCCAGCTTTGTAGTGTTTCAGAGCAGTCGGAACAAAAGGGTCCTTGATTTCACAATTGGGAGTCACTCACCGGCCTGTGATGGTGCGGAAGTAGCTGTCTCCTGAGATGAGGTTCTCTTGTGCTTCAGGGTACAGGCTGTGATCATGAAGGAATACTTGGGAAGGTAGAACACTTAGTAGTTGAGGTGAGAAGGGAAGTGTAGCAAATTTGAAGACGAGTGGAGCACCCAAGCAGTAGCAGCTTTCCGGAGCTGGTGAGGCCACTGCATGTGCTCCATCCAGCCTCCACCCCCATTTTCATTCTGCTCTTGCCAAGCTTGCTTTCCAAAATACCCCATCTCCTCAAACAGCTATCTCTAGAATACCCTACAGGGATGGTGAGGAAATATGAGTTTTGTCAGCATTTGCTCTCTTGGGGGAAAAAGCACTTTCCTCCTGCTTGTTTTTCCAACTGGAGATGGGATTCATAATGTTTGAGCAAAGTCTTAATTAATGGACGTGACAGGATTAGAAAAATGCAGAATGTAATATAAATGCTAATCATGACTTGGATTGATTGTTATTCAGCTCAAGGCCTCAGGTTTTCTCCTTCCACCTCCACAGTTGATGAGCAACCTTTCACTTTGTGCTTAGCATTTTAAATCAGATATTTTCCTTTGGCATGCTAGTGTGCATGTGTGTGGTGGGACTTGGTAGCTTCACCTATTTAGTTGGCCCTTTGAGCTGACATTTTCCAATGATTATCACTGAAAGTGTATTTCTAAGTTGGAATTGCCCAAACGTATAGTAATAACTGGAATAGCTTGTGGCTGTCTCAGTTAACAAATAATGAAATCTTATAACCATTAATTAAAGGTAAATAATTTGCATGCACAATAAGATCTTAAAGAAAAGATGATGAGTTGTGAAGATTTTCAGGTAAGTCACTATCAACGTAGGGGGGAAAAGCAAAAAGAACTGTGCAACCGGGAAATGTCCAGGGAAATGGATAAGATGGGAGAATAAATAGAGGGGTTGGGAGGGAAGATCGGGGTTGGTGATGAGACATCCGTGCCTTAAGCAGAAACTATGGAGTAAGAAGGTAAGTCTGGTGGCAGGGCAAAGTGAGTCTTTCTTTGTTGGCCACTGTGTCTCTTCTAGCTGTGGTTCTAGACCAGAGGCTTCTCTCCTGGAGAAGCCTTTCCTTTTTGAAAGAGAAAATGCAGTTTCCCTCTAAAGTGGTGTTTTTACTGCTCAAATGTAAGTGGACTACTGACAGGCGTACTACTTATCTCTCACTACCTTTACTTATGGGAAACTCCTCCCTATCCCACAGCCTGGCTCACTGACAAAGAGAAAGTTAGCTCTCTCTGAACACATTGTTAGCTGCAGCCCAGTGAAATCATTTAGGCAGGGCCTGGGGGACTCCATGCTGTGGGGTAAGCTTCAAGTGGTGCTAAACACCTCCACGGACCTGAAGTTCTGCTGCCATTTTGTCCAAAGGAAAAGTTTACCATCTTTCAGTCTAAACCAGAGTGTATGCTTTCTATCTTGAATGTTCCACTGCATGGACACTTCTGCAAGAACATTTCCACAAAAAAAACCAAAACCATTCCCAAAGCCTACTTGAAGTTTATAGTGTCATAAGTAGAAGCTCTGCCCTCAAAGAGGAGATTCTTTATCAGCAAAACTCAAGTTTATTAAAACAGGTATGACAAGTATAATAAAATTGACTGTTGCCTGTGCTAGGCCAGTATATTTCTGTACAAACAAGATAATGTTAGATATGACAGTTAAGTCTCTGGAACATAGAATACAAAATGAAGCATCTTAATTAAAAACCCTGCATAAAAGTGGAAAAAATTTCCCAGACCAAAGGAAAAGAAAAAAAGGGCTTCACAGCAAGAGACTGACAGCTGACTCCCACCTGCTATAAGGTGTGGCACAGTGAGAAATGTGGGTGTGAGCTGCCGCCTGATGGCCAGGGTGAGCTGCATCCCAATGCTGAGGTATCAAAGGAGCTCCAAGTCAAAGCTGAAGACTTAAACGAGTCATCCCGCCTCCCACATCCACTAACAGGCAGTCCAGGCTGCAGATGTCTGCGAGGAGTGGCTGCAGTCTCGAATGATAAATGATAAGGCAATCATACATTACTAACTGCAAATGGATACTGTATGAAACGAGGAACTCTCTGGGGCTGGGATCGCTGTATTCCTGTCATCAGACACTAGGAAGAGAATATCAAAGCCATGGCTATGGAACGTAGCTCCTCTGTACTTCTGGCCAGCGGTGCTCAAGGTGTGCATGACCCTGGCCTGGACACACATACTCCTTGGGCCCTATTCACTCCTTGGGCCCAATTTCAAGTTCCTTGAGTCATTGACTCATTTAGAATGTGCATTAAGGATGCTGCCTCTAACTTGTAAACAGGTGCTGTTCTGATCTTAGTGCAAATGGGTGTTGAGCCACCTAGGAACAGAAATTAGTCCAGAGAAGTCTAAGTATCAAAGTGGGTTTTGGAAAAAAAAAAAGAGAGAGAGAGACAACACTTACAATGAGAAAAGCAGCACAAAATCAGGATTACTTGACTATTTTCTTTTCCCCTTTTCAGAAACTGAATTGGTTTGGTACTCTGAGTCTTAGTTTTTGTACCTTGGTTGAGACCCAAAGAAAGGACTATATAGTCATATGCTCAGAGAAGCTAAGATCAGACTAAGACTACATGTTTAGTTTATTTGGCATAATGCTAGACAATAAAAAAACTCCCTACAGAACTGCGAAAATCATGCCTTTGATATAAGTTTACATTAATAAACTTTCATTTATAGCATCAGAATATTAGAATTGGAAGGACCTTTGGCCATTTATTCACTCTGTTATATACATGAGGAGACCAAGACCCCCAAAGTGTCCCTGACATCTTTACAATGAAGCTTTTGGCTCTTGCCCTTTGAAATTTGGCAGTGACTCATTATGGGAGTCTAGGTCAGATCTTGTTATTTTGGTCTTAAGGCACTCACAAAATGTCCTGATTTTTCTTATATTTGTGAGAAGACAAGAGTCTGGCACCTTTTCACAAGTACAGGATACATTAGGAAAAAAGCAACATTAATAACTGTTTTTTCCTCCCTCTAATGGTGTAGTAGTCTGAAGAACAGGGGACCTGGTGGCTGGGGAAGTGCCAGAAGATGGCAGGCTTTAAGTATAGACCACTATCGTATGTGAGGCAGAGAAGCTCCTTTTTTGTCTCTCCTGGAATGCAATCAGTGGTGGCTTCTTTCCAATTTCATGTACTCTCATGTCATCTCCTCATGAACAGCATTCATAACATGATGAGAAAGTTTTGGAATATATACACGGTTCAGAAACAGTTTAGCTTTCAAAAAACTGCCAGTTCATGTAGCATGTCTTGGTCTTGAATTTCGTGCAAAGCCAACAGCTTTCCTTCTGAACAACTCCAAACGGCAACAGTCCGTGATGGAATCCATGCCGTAGGTGATGGGAGAAGTGTCTTTTCTCCCATGTCTTACCAGAAGACAGTGCTGAGGAAATCACTCTATCTTGTTTGTCGATCCCGTTTCAGATCAGCAGCCATTTTCCACACAGATACACAACTGGAGAGCAGTATCTCTTCTGGGAACTGAGATTCCATCTCAGGAAGTTCACTCTCTTTCGTTTCCATGTAACTTACCAGCGTTTCTCTCAGGCTGAAAAACCAAGGAACAAGAGATAGCATTTAAGACAGCCTCCCATATAAAAAAAGGACCAATCACTTGTCACTTTTTCTAGTTGTCAATAGAATGAACCAAAGTGCTCATTAAGACCAGAAATACTAAAGGTCAGCATAGGGTCAACTATTGAGTTATCTTGAACTCGGACTAAAACCTGCATTCAAGGCTTCTGGTACCTAACTGCTGCTCTCTACCTGCAGCATACTAACAGCATAGAAGGGAGCAAACCTTGTGATGGCCCAGGCAGATGACTTTAGGCACTCTAGTAACATGAAGTTATTTATAGGGCTGTATTAAAAAACACAAAGCCTTGCCATCAAAAAAAAGTTTGTATTCTATTACATGTCTTATCTTTAAGATTATACATTCTCTAGGAAAGGGATCTTTTTCACCTACACTAAAGTCCAGGATAGTGAAGACTTGTTGAATAAGTTCAAAGACTATAAATGGATATGGGTATATGCTATATAGCATAATGGAAGAAATTGCAAATATGAAATGTATTGGTGAGGAAAACTAGAGTTTGATTATCGAAGAAAACAGTAAAGTTAAATCCCTACTTTGCACTACACAAAATGGTTAACAGAACGAATGAACAGTATAGAAATACAAAAGCCCAAAAAGAAAATGAGAGGATATTCTATATAACCCCAGAATAAGGAAGACTCTTATAGGTGTATTTTCCCTATAGAGACTTTATAGGAAAATTCTGTCAGATTTCACTTCATAAAATTAAAGACTAAGATCATCTCTAACACATAATATAAAACATAATCTCTGTTCTCTATAAAGAGCTCTTACAAATCATTAAGAAAGAGATATAGAGCCCAAAAGAGAGGATGATATACACATGGCTGATAAATATATGTTCAGTCTCACTAGTAAATCAAGAATTACAAGTGAAAAAGAGATGCCACTTTTTAAACATTAGATTGGCAAATATGTGAAAGATGGATAATAGCCAGCATTGAGTATTCTTATATACTCTTTATATATTGGTGTGGCTTGTTCTATCAAATTTAAAATGCACCTCTCTTGGATATAGTAAGCCTATTTATTAAAATGAGTATATATGACTTTTGTAATATTATTTTTAAAAACCATAGAGATGAAAACCATAAAAAGCAGGACACAGGACCCTGTGGTAAGAAAAGAAGGATTTTTATGTCTATGGACAATCACAGGAGAGACAGCAGAACACTTGGTATCTGCCCTGCCCAACAGCTGTGCACATCCATACCTCCAATTAGGGTTGAAACTCTCGTTGGTTTGGGGGCCCTTTAGTTTAAAGACCATCATTTCATGGAGCTCCAGCAGGAAAGCATCTAGGCCAATATGATTCAGGAAAGTGCTGAGAAGCTTAGCATTTTCTGGGCTGAGATCCTTTTTGTACCTTGAATCGATCTCCCTAAATGGCTCCTAAAATGAAGGAAGAACAAATGAAACATTGACACCTGCAAAGAGAGGGACACAGCCCACTCCATGTAGGGAGGGAAGGGGCCAGACTTACTTTTTTCAGTCGCAGCAGCAGTTCAGACTTGTGAGCAGACAGGAATTGCCACAGGGCAATGGTATGTTTTAACTGACATCTGTTTAAGGCCTGCAAGAGAAACAGAATTCCTGAGAAGCAGGCCAAGGTTCCACACCCTCACACCTACCATGCATTTAGAAATCTGAGTGCTACTCATGTAGGCATTTTTCTTTTCCTTTTTGCTCTGTACTAATTTGATTTCCCTCATTATGAAGGCTATCTCTGTTCTATCCTCTAATTCACCTGCCTTCTCGTATAATGTCTGACAGTCCCCTCTCTCCTGTAGCATCTCATCAGAGTTAATCAGCAGCATGCAGTTCATAGGTGCCTAATGTTGTCAGTCATATTTGTGGTATGCTGTATCTTGATTGATAGCATTTCAAGCACATATTTACCATCCACAGGGTTCTTTTTACATTGTGGACTGACTGAGTGAGGGGTTGTTTTTGCTTCCCCCTCCTTTTCAGGGAGCCTAAATTGGTACCCCCCAAATGGTGGGATTACTTCCTTAGTAGGAAACAGGGAGACTAAAGTGAGGGGTCGTGCTGATTTCCTTTGAGAGCGCCTTTGTGTGAGACCCACCTTTCGCACAGCAGTCATCTGATCGCCCATTCGCAGGATGTCTTGGATGTACACATTCAAGTACATGTTTGGATCCCCACCAGCTGTGCTCAGAAACCCCAGTGTGACTTCCACAATAGACAGCGCTTCACAGGCATCACTGAAGGACTGCAGCTGGCTGCTGATGGCACTGACGGCTGAGCTGGAGAGGGAGCTCTGGGAAATCAAAAGCAGGAGAGGTCTATGGGTTGGGCTTCTGTTTCTTACTACTTGGAAAAGAGCTTAGCTTTTTCACTGCCCAAGCCACGAGAGCAGGACAAACTCTAACACTTGGTGCTTACTGCATGCCAGGCAGTGTCCCAGGCATTTTATAGAAATAGATACAAGCTCAGTGAATCCTCAAACCACCTTGTGAGGGTATGGAGACACACAGACATGTACCTATCAGTATCAATACCAAGGGAACAGGAATTCATACGTTCCAGGGACCTCTTGCCTCAGCATGCATGGTCATGATATCATGATGAAGAAACTAACTCCACAAGATGTCAGTGTATTTACACTTAAGAAAAACTGCTGATTTGCTGTCTTGCTTGCCCTCTGCTAAGAGCACGGGGCTCTCAGGGGCACAATGGGTGCTTAGAGAGGCTGCTGAAACTCTGGCTCACAGCAAACACATGGAGTGAGGCTGCAGCAGTGCTAATAAGGACAGAAACACTCTGATAAGGCAAAAAGCACCATGCTAAGGATTATTGTGATCACCTGTGCCATTTTGTTCTTGATGTCCATAAAGAGATGCTCGTAGTTCCAGTCATGTCTATATACCAGAGTGGGGAGTCCCTGAAGAGAGAAAGAAACAAGTTTTTGGAATTTAAATCCATTGTGGATGTTTCCATCAGATGGCAAATATATCTTCTATCAGTAACTCGGCTGTAGTACCATGCTGCTCAGTGTCTCACCAGGCAAGGCATGCTGTTCTCTTGATGCCTCATGGCATCTACGTTTAACCCATAGTCCATGGAAACAGTAACACAACAGGGCCGAGCAGATACCATCATGTGGCCTTGTTCACCAGGAGAGGTACTGGGGGAAGCAGATATGTGAGGGTATCTCATTCATGTATTCATCCAACAACTACTAAGCATAGATCATGAACAAGACAGTCACTCTGCTAGATAATAGGGATCTCAGAATGAATTAAAAACAGCCTTGCTCAAACAATTCCCAGCTGAGTTGCAGGCAGTGAGGGGGAATAAATGTATATACATCAATGCAATGTATTTGATGGGAGCTGGCAGGGACAAGTGTAGCCCAGGTGAAAGAACATAGACTGGAAGGCTGCCACGTGGATCCAGCGGGTGAGGGCACAGTGTACAGCACAGGGGAGTGAGGTGAGTAACTGCAGACAGGGCTGGAAGGCTGGGGTGGGGCCAAGCCACAGGGCCTTCCTGCCTGGTAGAGGATGTCAGCTTTAACCCACATGCAGTGGGAATCCAGGCGAGGCTGTCCAATAGAGAGGGCAGCATCAACACCTGGTTATTAGGAATGTGGACTGAGGAAACTGGAAGCAGTGACCAGCTGGGAGCTGTGGTAGCTGTCTGACTTAAGGATGGGTGCTGTGAAGTATAGGACAGGCTGTGGTAGTCAGACCATGAGGACATGAGGACATGTAGAAGGCAAACCTGATGGCAGATGATATATGGAGGCTGAAGGAAGAGAGTAAATGGTGCCTGTGAGGTTGGTAGTGCCATTAACTAGGGTAGGAAAACCTAGACAATGAATCCATTAAGACTTGAACAGACCCTTGGGGGACTGAGAGTCTTGGGAGACTATGCTGCTGCGGAGAAGAGCTCAGGAGAACATCCAGCCCAGAGATACAGATGGGAGTGGTGGTCACAGAAGCTGTGGGTATGAAGGAGATGGTGCAGACCAGACAGCTGGGTGATGCACCCATGCTAGTCTCACTTGAAACACACTGAGGGTTACTTATTCACAACAGACACACCGACCAAACAATGGCAGCAAGGGTCAGTCTTACCTTGAGTGTCAGCCTGGGCTTGCCCTGGAGGAAGCGGCTGGTGATCTGCCGCTGGATCTTCTCCAGGTCGAACTCCTGCAAGGTTTCTCCACCTTGTTCAACCTGATATTGGCAGTTGGAGAGAATCAGTGGAGTCAGGTCCCGTTCCACTTCATAACTGATGACATGCAGATCAGTGACCTCAGAGGCATCCACAGAATAGCTGGAGTACATAAAGACAGAACACTCAGTGTCCAGGTATGTAGGGCCTAGGACTCTAGGTTACATGGAGCCAGTTTCTACTTGATGTGCTCATAGTCTGAGCAGATGAGAACACAAAAATATGGGGACACTTGTAAGGGTGGCTGAAGGAGCTTCTGTTAGGGGAGGAGCTGAAGCTTGTTTGCGTCTGCCCCAGTGGGCATAGGGACTCTGGGCTGAGTGGGCACTGCATATTGTTGGCTTATGCACACACCTGTTGTTTTCCTTGGAGAACTTCTCCACCGTGTAGACAATTTCATTGTGTAGGTTAATCAAGTAGCTGACTAGGGCAGTAGAACAGAGGCCCAGGCCCTGTCGACGTGGCAGGATGACCTCAAAATCAGTGTCCAGATCCAAATTGCTATTGCAATAGTCTTTAGGCAGCTTGATTTCACCTGTAAATGACAGAGTTATCCTTAAGCAGAGAGATGTTTAATGCCATGCTCCTTCTCACAGCATTCAGGTGCTGGGAGAAGGAGGCATGCAGAAGACATCTTGACACAGAGCTGGGAGCCAGAATCTAAGGTTCTGCCTCTGGTCTCTCTTACCTACTAACAAGTTTCAGATGCTCTCAACTCTATTTAAATTCCATATTTATGGGTTCAAGAGGACTGAGGGTTTATTTTTTTGGATATGTTATTTTACATATCCCAGACACTGCCATCAAAAGATGCATTGGCTCAACATTAACAAGGTGCTATGTGGTAACAGGGACACGCTGAAGGGAAAAGTTTTCAGAATGGGTTTTCCTGTGACGTTTAGTGTTACTAAGGGGAACAGAACACTTACCATTGGTTTCAAGAGATCTCCTCAGCTTGTTCCATGTGGACAGAAAGATAGTGATTCTGTTTTGAAATAACTGCCTCAGCCCTTCTGTTGAACAAAGCATTTATAAGAACCCCCATGATAGTAAGAACCCTGCCAAGATCAAACCAACAGAGTTACATGCTCTATATAGAGCTTGGCTTTGCGTTTCTGTGCAGTCACCAGCATGTGCAAAATGCTGTTTTAAGCACTAACCTGAGTTTGAGGAGCTAGAGAGGGAGGTGTTTTTCAGCAGCAGCAAAAGCCTCTAATGTGTTTCTAGGGTTCAGTACCCTTCACCTCATGCTAAAAGCTTAGGAGACAGAGTACCCATTAGCCCTGATCTTCCCTCCTCCCCATGCTGTGCCCTCACTGGAGCAATCCTTTTGAACCACCAAACACGGGATAGTCTTGATCTTATTAGAGAAGAGTCATACCTGAATTGTGACTGCTAATAAAACTTCTGATGGAGGTGTATTCAGCTTGTGAAATATTCTGGAATCGTTTCACTAGACTCCTCTGCAGGGCCAAAATCTCAGGCAAGAACTTCACCAGTCTCAGTTCTGCTTCCTGGAAGGCAAGACCAGCCAGTAACACTTTTTTATTTACCTGAAAAAATGTTACTGGAGATACAGACTTTGGGGCTGGCTGGGGGACTTTTATTTGTAGTTTAATCTGGCCAATGTGCCATTTTTATGACATACCATGGAGCCTGAAAATGGGAAGAGGGCCATCCCATTCTTTTAGCAAGTACCTATGGACAGTGCAATGTATTAGAAAGGGAAGATCAGAAGGCATAGCCCTGCCTTTACGGAGCCGACACATCCACTGTGTGTGCAAAGCCAATAAAAGAAACCTCCTTGAACCCATGTGGTTGGGTGTGGGAAGAAGCTGCTGGAAGCAAAGAGATCAAGAGCCTAGGCAGTGAAGGCTGACGTTATTCCTGGGTGTTGTTCCAAAGACCTAGAATCTGAGCATCTTCCACTTAATGAAACTGTACACCTTAGGGAGAGATCACAGTGTTAATATGAAGATCAACCGGGCTCAGTGGCTCAGCCAGTAATCCCACACCCTGGGAGGCTGAGGTGAGTGAATTGCCTAAGCCCGTGGGTTCGTGACCCGCCTGGGCAACTTGGTGAGACCTCATCTCTACAATAGATAAAAAAATTAGCTGGGTGTAGTAGTGCACGCCTGTAGTTCCAGCTGCTTGGAAGGCTGAGCTGGAAGGATCACTGGAGCCCAGCAGGTCGAGAGTGTGGTGGCCGGGAGCGGCCACTGCACTCCAGTCTGGACGACAGAGTGAGACTCCAACTCAAAAAAAAAAAATGAAGACCTTCCTAGTGTGAATTAATTTTTTTTAACTCACCAATAGAAATTTCTGAATCATTTTATTTCTTGCTAGACTGAAAACACTAGTCCACAGATGGAAATTATTAGAAAATCTATTGCAGAAAATGAAAGTTCAAATGGTCAAAAAGTTAGAAAGCATGTGTACTTGTAATTTTAACAGACGTGACCAGTGCCTCTTCCCGCTCCCCCACCTGCAACCCTACAACTGCCAACACACACTCACTCACTCCCATCTTCATCTATACCTCAGTGGTTTAGGAACAGGGGAGATGTTTTTGTTTGATTTTGGCTATGCATTCTTGACAAAAGTTTTTTCAGTCAACAGACACTTGTTGATGACCAACTGCTCCAGGCACTAGAAGACTAAGATGAACAGACTTGGCTGAGAAAGATTTGTGTTATTTTCTTTCTTGCTGAGTGATCGGGGAGGTCCTCTCCTGGCCTTCAAGTTCTTTACAGATTGCTGCTAATCCCAACTCATGTATTTCATTTGTGACATTATGCTTCAGGCTATCACACAATTTGATGTGCATGAAGAGATCTGAGTCTTCTCTACAGACATTCTATTCAAAATCCAAGTATTGAAGTAGTCAGTTAAGATGGTCTATCTTCAGGAATGATTATACCAAATAAGAGCTTGGGGCCTTCAGGACTAATGGGGATATCTGCACAGTAAAAGGGAGACGTCATGGTGAGTCAGACATACCTTCTGTAGGAACTGCCAGAGAACGGGCACTATTTCTTTGCCATTTTTCTGCTCCACAATGTGCTGGAGGTACTCAACTGTGATTCTCTTTTTGCAGCTCCAAATCTTAGAGCAGTGGACCTCACTTTTCTGGGGCAGGTGAGGCAGGAAGGTCACTGGATCACCATATATGATTTTGGCCACAGGGTTGGAGCTAATACGCTCATCTTGACTGATAAGATTCTCCAGAGTCAAAAGGGTTTTATCTAGATGCTAGATGAAGAAAATGAAACAGAAATCTGGAAGTGAGGTATTGCTACAGACAGACTGACCATCTAGTGACTTCACCGGTGGGCATCTGCATATTAAGGAGTCTGCCCTCCTCAGCTGAGCATGTCATCAGATACTCACTTTGATCTTTTATGTAATTTGAATGTTCCTAGCTTGTAGGTTTGTTTCCTCAAACAGAATGAGACCCGTATTTTATTCCCATCTTTTAGTTACTGACTTTTCCTGGTGGGCTTCGCTACTCTCAGTAACTATTCGTATCTACCAGAGGAATAATTAATCTATGATTTTCAATACATTTTTAGTGGGTGTATCTATGTGATAGTTTATGGCTCTACCTCTTGCTTCACGTTTTGCTATAAAAAGTAGTGGAGAGCTGGGCATGGTGGCTCAAGCCTGTAATCCCAGCATTTTGGAAGGCTGAGGTGAGAGGACTACCTGAGCCCATGGGGTCGAGACCAGTCTAGGCAACTTGGAGAGACCTTATCTCTACAATAAATCAAAAAATTAGCTGGGCATGGTAGCACACGCCTGTAGTTCCGGCTACTTGGAAGGCTGAGGTGGAAGGATCACCTGAGTCCAGCAGGTCAATGCTGGGGTGGCTGTGAGCGTGCCACTGCACTCCATCCTGGGCTACAGAGTGAGCCTCCAACTCAAAAAAAACAAAAAAACAAAAAAAAGGAATGGAGAGAAAACTATTGTTTATATTTTCTGGAGTTCCAGTAATTCCCCAGCCTGACTCATGACCAGCCACAGGAGGGAGGAACACTTGGGGACAACAGGAGGGTGGGGTGACTCTAGGTGAAAAGCATGGAAACTTGAGCACAGCTAAAGGCTTCTGCTGGTGCCTCTGTGAGGGACAATAGGTAAAGAATGCTCAGCAAACACCTAAGAACCCCCTCATACCTAGAAAAAGTAGCTAAGTAGTGGTTACCACTTAGCACTTACCTCCAGTTCGGGTAAAATAACAGTTGCAACATGTTTTTCCCAGTTGTTTCTCATTTCTTTGGTTGACAAATTTGCATCAAAATTAGAAAGTCCTATAAAATAACCCAAACGGTGTAGGTTACCCACGGAACAAAAAACATAGCAGCCTATACATAATAAGTACTAAATAACTGTTAATAGAAATGATGCTCCTTTGGGGTAATCTCTTTCTTAATTAATCTAAGTATTTAAAAATAGTTCCTGCTGCTACCACCAAACTAATGATCTTCGAGAAGATACTTAAATCTCTAAACATTCCTCTGCTCATGTCATCATAATCTTAAAACCATTCTGAATAAAACGACTGAAAAAACAGAACTTAAAAGCCCAGGGGCATAGTAAGGGTAGCCAGGCCACCATCAGGCTGTGTCAGCTGCTGCTGCCCGAACCTACAGGCAGAGACATGGCCCTATGGATCCAAACATGGATGCAGAGTGCTGCCTGAACCATCTGCAGGCTTCTAGGATGCTATCATTTTGTCAGTGTGGTATTGGGTCAGCTCACCTAGCTGAAATCACACCAGAATGAGAGCCTAAAGTAATATCAGATTTTGCTAAAAGAAAAATAAATACTGAATGCTGATTGCTGTCAAAGAGGCATCTGAAGTGGGAATATAGGTTTTCTTGTCATAGGGCAGAATTTTTTTATTGTTATTATTATTATTATATTTTTAAAAGCAGGATGTATTGAGAGAACAGAAAAGCTCTCAGAGAGGGTGGGGACCCGAGGGAGTTACTCTATTATTATTATTTTAAATAACATTGTCCTCACAATGGCAATTGGGAGTTTTGCAGATAAGCACAAAGAAAATTATTCTTAATTCTACCAGTCAGACATAACCATTTTACTAAATTGTCTTAAAGACCTTTTCTTTTTGTATGGATTTTTTTTTTACATCAGAAAATATAGTTTATTTAGAAATTAGAAAGAGAGAAGAGATTCACCTCCCCAAGGTAGGGAAGGGGGCCAAAGCTCTGTATGGATTTAAATTTTTAAAATAGAAACAAGCTTAGTGAATATAATATTTTACAGCACACCTTTTTTCATGTAACAGGTTAATATATTAGGAAAGCATATGACTAAGATCCCCTTAGGAAAGCAGAAGCTGTGATGGTGATTGAGTCACTGACACATTGTAGATAATATGCATTCCCAATATAGCAGGTGAATTACCTACAGGGCTGACCCCTACAGGAACTGAAAAGCCTACACACACACATACACACACACACACACACACACACACACACACACACACGCACGCACACAACATTGTACACACACGCGCGCGCACACACACACACACACAAACACACACACATAACATTGTATGCAGATGTTCCTGAATACTGCAGGGCTTAGCCAGACAGGAGGGTAAATGGAAAAAACAGAGCAGCTCCTTCCATCCTCTGGGCAAGCAGAGTGCTTCCTATTCCGCAACTGGAGTCGCCTGCCTTATAACATCGTTTTCTCTCACTCTGGAGTGCAGGCAGTGAGCCTGGCTTCTTTGCTGTGGGATCCCCTGCCTGGCCCAACCCTCGCCCATCTTTCCTTACTCTGGCTTAAGAGGTGCTGCTGCTCTTGGAGAAGTCTGGCCAGGATGAGGTGGACCACGTTGGTGGTGTCATCGGCACTCTTTGCCAGCATCTTGGTCAACTGCTCCAAGTCTCTCTGGATATGCTGCTGCAGAAACCATTTTGGATCCCTCACTGGAGGCTTAATGATGTTTCTCAGAGCCTGTGGGGACAATGAACCAAAAGGTTCAACAGGATCTTGTTTGTATATGGCATGGTGAGCCCAGTAGAGGCCATCCAGAATGAAAAACCAGCTGCGTGAGAAGGGGGTTTCTAAGATGAAGTCCATGGAGTTATCCAAGCATGATCCAAACAGCAGAGGCCAAAGAAGGCGGGCGAGCGGAACAGCTGCTGGCTCTTATGTTCTCAGAGGGAAATAAAGAATGTTCAAGCCCTGTGCTTTTTGTCATCTTGGTTAGTACTAACTTAGGGGAAATGCAGTATGCTGTCTTTCTTCCATAGAGCTACAATAAGGACATGGGCAAAATACTGACTATATTAACCTTTCCACTCCCAGGTGTGGACCCAAAGCTGAGTTGTTTAGTTAATGAAGACTTTATATAATCTGATGAATAGTTCCCCCATACCATCATGTGCCACAGTGGGAAAAAAATTAAGATATGTAAATTTTATATTACTTTGTAGATAAGTTATCAATGAGAGAGTCAAAATTCCACAGACTGAGGCTAGGACTCTTTAGATCAAAGGACTCACTGTGAAAAAGCAGTAACAGGTTCTTCCTATAGTAGCTAAATTCATAGTTTGGCAGCACCATTTTATACCTGTGGACTGTGGGCAGCTCCCAGAAGCATAGCCAAATGAGTGAGTAGCCGGATGAGAATGAAGACCACTGGGGACAGCCCTCGGTCAGACGCCACCACACTTTTATGTTGCGGGTCACCCAGCACATGGCCAGTCTGAGTTCTGTCTATGTTGTTGCTGGTAAGACAAGAGAAAACAGGGTGAAGACTGGAGCGGGTCATTTATTAGGTCTAGATTCTCAGGACTTGGAAACTAGGTTCAGAGTTGAGGAAGACACGGCAAAAATTCTTCTTATTCTACTAAGTTCAGACCATTTTCCTAGGAGTCTTTTTCATCACAGACTCACCTTTCTGGCTGACCAGCCCCCACAAAGCCTTAGTGTCAGGTGGCTGCATTATGTGGCAATTAGTGCTGATCCCTGGGCAGGGTGTTAGGATGGAGGACTGGATGTCTTTTCCACTGAAATCTTTGTGGAGAGAGCAACAGGCAGGCAAAGAACAGCTAGAGTTTGGGACAGTTGGTATCCCATGTTCTCATTTTCCCAAATAAAAAATGAGGATCCAAGATCTGACAAAGGATTTTGTATAACATCCAGACAGATGATGCAGTGTGATAGATACATCCAGTTGTAAAAATATTAGCGATCCTAGGACATTTTGATAATTTATGGACATAACAGTTGAGAATATTTTAAGCTATGGTTGTAGCAGAACAGTCAGGTCCTACTAACTGTCTGAAGGGAGCATTTATAACCATACCTGCCTCAGCATGGTATTGTGAGATCAGATTTTTCTCTGGATTCTGAAGTCTGGTATCTGATGAGATTAACTACTTCTCCCTCATACCCTCCCTCACCCCCAAAAAGCTAAGATAGTTAACAAGTGAGATGGCATCTGTTGAGACAGACAAATGCCTAGTTTTTGGTCCTGCAGACTTAGATGTCTCCCTGAATTAGGTCACCTGTTTATGTCAAGCATGTTTCTACAGGGGTGCACTCAAGACTCAAATGAACGCATCTGTATTGGTAAGTATTAATGTGTAGTCTGCTTTGTGTTTAAGGGCCCAGTGAGCCAACCACAAATCAGATATCTCACTGCTGCTGTGTGACTCCTGGGACTTAGGCATTGCTATCCAACATGACACAGGTCTAAATGTACTATAGTAAGTAGTACTATATTTAGTATCATTTTATCAGCTGGAATAAAAGTAGCCCAAACCCCATGGTTCACTACTTAGGAAGGAAGTACAATCTTACATACGTGATAACATGAAAGCCATTCTGAGGTCTGTGATCAATACCTCCAACTAGTGTACCACAGTCAACACAAGAGCTCAGCTCCATTGGCCTGCCACACTAGGATAAAGACAAATGGGACTTAAAATCAGTTTTGGAGCCAGTATCATTGTATGCCATTATGCAAATGAACACATCCTGACCACAGGAGGTAGTGAATGCCATTAGGATTGCTTATTCTTTTTTTTTTTTGAGTCAGGGTCTCACTCTGTTGCCCAGGCTCGAGTGCGGTGGCATGATTATGATGATCACATGGCAGCCTCAACCTCCTGAGCTCAGGAGATCCTTCCAATTCAGCATCCCAAGCAGCTGGAACTACAGAAACGTGCCACCATGCCTGGCTAATTTTTGTATTTTTTGCAGAGATGAAGTTTCACTATGTTGCCCAGGCTAGTCTTGAACTCCTGGGCTCAAGCAATCCTCCTCCATTGGTCTCTCAAAGTGCTGGGATTACAGGCATGAGCTACTGTGCCTGGCCCAGGATTGCTTATTCTAACGTGCGTTTATTTCAGGTGAGATGGAGGAGCCATGGGGGACAGGGTAGCTATCAATGCAAATTATGTTGTACATGGGCAAATTTGGATTTTATTTTAAAAAAAAAAAAAAACAGACAAGATAGCTTAAGTTTTATTCCCAGAGTGACACTTTATAGACAAATATATAAAATTCAACCTTCTCATATTCATCACTTTTTTCCATTCCTCCATCTATCACGCTAGTCTCTAAAGCTTCATGATCTAATACCAGGAATACTGTAATAGCTTCCAAACTGACATCTTTACATCCATGTAGGCTTTTTTACTTAAAAAAAATTCACAGCCGGGCTCAGTGGCTCAGCCTGTAATCCCACGCCTTTGGGAGGCTGAGGTGAGTGGATTGCCTGAGCCCGCGGGTTCAAGACCCGCCTGGGCAGCAAGACCTCATCTCTACAATAAATAAAAATATCAGCCGGGCATGGTAGCGCATGCCTGTAATTCCGGCTACTCAAAAGGCTGAGGCAAAAGGATCGCCGGAGCCCTGCAGGTGGAGGCTGCGGTGGCCGGGAGCGGCCACTGCACTCTAGTCTGGGCGACCAAGTGAGACTCCAACTCAAAAAAAAAAAAAAAAAAAAAAAAATTCATCCCTATGATCTACTACTTCCAAAGGCTCGTTTTTCAAAATCACATAGTATGCTATATATACGGAGAATCGCAGCCTGTAACAGACCAAACCAGTCACAGAATTTCAGCGCAAAGAGCAACCTTGGATAGACTCTATTTTGATCTCATTTTGTGGATAAGTAGGGAGTGAATCTCAGAAAGATGAAATGCGTACATATCAGTGTTTTTCCTTCCATGTCTCTTAATCAGATATATGTCAGCTCAATCCACTAGCCTTTTGCTCAGCAAGCACAGATATACTGAAGGGTCCTGGGCTAGATGCTTGGGAATTCAGTGATGAATAATAAATAGCTCTTTCCCCCATGGTTTATAATCTACAAGTCTCTTTTTCCTATCCTTTGATGTCTAGACCATACCTCCTCTCTTGGCTAACAATCTAGTCTAGGATTCAGTCAACACTTTGCCATTCTACAGAGACAAGTGTCATCGGTCCTGTGCTGCAGTGGCTAGAGAGGATGGCTAGCTGCAGTTCCCAACCAGTAGCAATTCTGTTTCCCCGGGGACCTTTGGCAATGTCTGGAGACAATTTTAGTTGTCTCGCTGGAAGCAAGGGGGTGCTCCTGGCATTCAGTGTTGAGGTCATCTATGCTGGTAAATATCTTACAATGTACGTATGGGACAAGCCTCACACTAAAGAATTATGCCCACAGTGCTGAGGTTGAGAAACCCTGAGCTAGAAACCCTTAGCACCCTTTAGCTGCTTAGTTGGAGCCCCTTGAACAGCCTCAAAATGAGCCTGGGCTCTCCTGAGAAAGCCAAGAGCCTCATTCTCTTACTCCTCCATGACCCCTCTCATCAGACCTAGAAGAAAGCCTTGCGCCCACTCCTCAAGCTCTATCTTAAACACATTCGTGACTGGCAAATTTTTCACTTTCCTAATACTGAGAGCGGGTAAAAAAACAAACAAACAAACAAACAAACAAAAAAGTGAAGCTTTTTGCCACAAACTTCTTGTTAAGTACAAGTGAAATGGTCTTTTCTAAATTGTCACCTTTTTCACAATACAGCTGAAAGTTGCAGACATATCCAGTATTTGCCTCAGATACCACTCTGACTAGCATTCCGTATTTTGTATTTTTATTTGGATTATAAACTCGAACAGCCAGTCTTCCACAAGGAGCTAAATTCATGGCAGCAGCAACCAGGAACAGAATTTGGAATGACGTAAATTCACATCAGTGACAACCAGGAACAGAATTTGGAATGATGTAAATTCACATCAATGGTTGCAAATGAGTTAAATACCAAGACTCACCTCTCCTACAGAGCAGGGATGGCCGTTGGGACAAGCTGTTAAAAGAACAACAGGACACACGTTGGTTAGTGAGGTTTCACCAAATGACCTGTATTGAAAAGGGGAAGCTAACTATTTTCTGGCCCTGACCAAAGAATGACAGTAGATATCCAAAGTGCCTTATCAGATATCCTGAGCTACTATGTTAGTTGTCTGACATATGCCTGGAGCTCAATAAATGTATGCTGTTTGTGAAAAATATCTGAATTTAATTTTATAAAGCAAAGAGAAGTTAGATTACAGGTTCATACCAGGGATTACTTTTGGAGGCAAAATGGATAATATTCTAAATTTTTCTATTGTCTTTGATTTTTTTTGGTGTGCGCCATGAGCATGTTTTATAAACTATAAAAACTAGTTTTAAAAGATTATTTATTAAGGCAAGAGCAAAATTTACATAAAATGTCATGGGTTATGTTATTCTGTCTCCTCTACTTTGAAAGAGCTATCTTTGGGTCAAAAACTTTGTTGTATTGTGACTGGCCTTTGAATGAGTCTCTGATGTGCTTCCTAGTCCCCCCTTCTCCCAAAATGGCATATTCTAGGGAGCAGTGGTGCATCCCAAAGGGTCCTTTCCACATGACTAAGAAATGAAAGGATTTGGATCATCTGGTCAGCAGAGTGTCAGTGCCTTCAAGCCACTCCTATTTGCAGAGGTGCCACAGGCAGAAAGCAGGGGATTCTGGACCCTGAGGCATAGACCATGTGGACCCCAAGCCTAACCCAACACCTCATGGTAGTTGGATGCTGAAGTGTGTGATTCCATCAGACAGCAACACTTACTGTACCACTGGAGGCCTTCCAGACCCTGCCATCTCCTAGCTTGAGCCAGCAAGTCTTCAGGCATAGCTGGAAGAAAAGCATTCTGGAAAACAAAAACAAAAACAAGAAAGCAGAGACAGCACTATGTCAGTGAGCATATCGATGGGTTGCTGTTGTTCAGCAAGCAGTCTAGAGTAAGAAAGTAAACTTTTTGTCTTCTTTCTGCTTGACTTCAAAAGCTACCTATGAACAAAATATAACAGCTTTCTGTAAAATAACAAAGGACAAGGCAAGTTTTTCACTATCATGGGGTGGGGGGAGCTAAATAATCAACTGAGATGAAGAGGCAGACAGAGAATTTAGAAAATAAGGAGGTTCAAGAGTTCCCAAGGCTGCAGCTCGGTCTCCCAAGTGACAAGTTCTTGGGAGGTGTTACTGTTGAGGGTCAATGGGATCAAAACCCAGTCTTACCGCCATGTTGGCTGGGGAGAAGGCCATGTTCTTTAGGGGTTCCAAGATTCTGTTCTGTCCACATAGAAGGACGACTGCAGCATGAATGGCCATTTCTGTCACTGTTCCCTCAAGGCTGCTGTCATTGGTGCCTGTTGTCAGCAATGGCAGAGTATTGGCCACGAGGGCTGTTGCAAAATGTCTGATACCAGGAGGGGAAAGGATCTTGCATTCTTCAATGAACTTGTTCATAGCCTCACATTGCTGACAGGGAAAAAATGTTTTTAACATTAAGACATATCAAAGAAGAACATTATGTGAATTCGAAGGTTTGCTCTTAATTAGACATACTTCTTGATACCAAATACACATCAAAATCAAGGTAAACGTGGTTAAATTATCTCCATTTGAAGGGAAATTCTTCAGAAAAGAGAATTTGCATAGAAAAACACAGCCACCACCTATCTAAGCACTAATTTTGATATTCTATTTTGATAAGTACTTTCTTATGTTCCTGACTTTGGTTTTCATTGTAATTCTATAAGCTTTGGGTTAAACAGAAAATAGTTCTTCCATATAACAAAGTTGGAAACTTCTATCATAGATAAAAAGTTAGGCATGATTTGTGTTTATGACTTGTATTCCACTTAGTAAAGTCCCTCCAAATAACAAGACTATGAACACAAGCCCTGAATGTTGCCACTTACCTCTGGTGTAGGGTGGAGGTTTGCATTATGGGATCTGTACAAAACAGCCACCTCTCTAAAAAGTGCTAAGAGTAAGTGGACTACCTGTTGCGTTTTGGGGTTCTTGCAGGCCTGCAAAAGCAAGGATATAAATTGAGAATTTAAGAGTTATACAGATCTATGTAAGGGCCAGAGCCCCGTGCAGCTTGCATGTGAATATGGGATGTGCATTGGGGGGTGACAGAGCCTTTCCTGGGCCCTGGACACCTGGATCCTCATGGGCAACAATTCTTGGGCTACAAGGTTCACAAAATATTCTCAGATTATACTCAGTGATTTCTGTTACTTCTGACTCCTTCACTGCTCTTAGAAACTTTTCCTGAGCAGAGAGATAGGACTTTCTGTTTCCTTTTTTCCTGGCACAACACCAGGGTAAACAGGAACTCAAAAAGGAAGCGAGACCAGATCAATTTAAAGGCTAGATTCTAAAAACCCTGTGTCTTTATTAAAATGAACACACACAAGCATATATATGAATGAATTATGAATGTATATAGATATGAATTTTGCTAGTTGTGTCAGCATCTTTCATATGAGAGTAGTCCTGGAGGAAATGATTTTTTTTAGCAGAGTCATGAAGTAATGGATATAAATGAATCAAAAAGAAGCTGCTGATGGCCTTGGCAGGTCAGCAAGATACAGCACATCTGTCAACACCACTCAACCGTTATAGCTATCCTGTTCCAGCTACTGGTTCAATGTACACTGGCCAGGTGCACCACAGAGGCTGTGGGCATGTGACTTTCAACATAGTATGTCACTCGATGGGGCTATTTCAGTGGTCCACCAGCCAGCATCACTTGACATAAACCAAGGAAGACACAGGCCCTGAGGGGTGCCATTTGGTACTAGAGAGAAGCCATGACCCATCCTACCTTCAGAGCAGTCTCAATACCCAAGGGCTTGCATTCGAGGACGGCTTTGGCTGTGGCATCACGAAGAGCCTTGTATTCACTGCCGTATACCAGGTAGCGATCCATCTGGCCTGGATGATCCTTCTGCAGCCCCAGGAATAAAGGGGTTAATCATGGTGTGAATGGTGGGAGAAATGTTTTCGCAAAGAACCATTTCAATAGCTAAAGGAGCCAGGTAATCATTAGAGGTTTAAAGGCAGCTGAACTGAGATGCCCTGATCTGGCCCAAGGCATGACAGTACAGTGGTGCCTTTGGGAAGAAATTCCTCCATGGTAGAGGAATGGGTATAAGTGCATGAAGGTGCGGGTATAAGTGCATGAAAAGCCAGCAGAGGTGGCAGTGCTAACCTAGGGACTGCTTGCCAAAGGCCAGGTGACTTAAATTCTGTCAACTCTAAACCTAGTTGGTAGCAAACAAGATGTCAGGGTTTTAAACATTTTTGTAACCCCAGGACAATAAGAATTTGTTAATTTCTGAGCATCTGGAAAGGACCACTGAGAGGCCCTGAAGCTAAACATATGCAATTCTTCTGTCCCTACTTCTCATTCTCTCCATCTCTGCCTACCAGAGGTAAAAAGGACATATCCTGCAAGTGGAATAATTTTATTTTGCTGAAAGCAAAGGCCCCGGTAACATTCTTTTATTTTCCTTATTTCAATTTGCTAAGAAGTGATGCCTAAATAAACTTTGCAGGTAGATTACAAACCAGAAATATGCATGTGTGCACACTTATCTTTGCCCTATGGCAGCTGATCTAAATGTAATCATAAACTGGGTCAAATTGGTTGAAAGAGAGACAAGGCACCAGACAGATGCATGCATGTTTCCTTCCTGGTGCCGGAGAAGGTAAGAGCAAGTAGGGCAGAAGGCAGGAGCAACAGCCCCAGGCCCGGGGCTCCGCCAGCACACCAGTTCCACCGGGCACCTGTTTCTCACCTGCTGCGCAACAACGTCCTTGGGAAATACCCACTGGTATGGATGGCCTGGTCTGGAGAGGCTCTGCACGAATTCTATCCCTCGCTGGCTTGTGAGCTTCCTCACCAGGTACACTCTATACCAGTCGTTCCTGACTCGGGTACAGAAGTGCTCAACTTGTCGCAGGTAGCGTTGTTTTTCTTCAGCCATCTCTGAGAGTCCAACAAGAAGCTGGGTGAGCAACTGACGACTTAGGAGATTTACTGTAGGACACAAAGCTAGTCAAAGGGCATGGGGCCTACTCTTTAGGAATTCACAGTAAAAACACATCCAGGAGAGAGGACCTAGTAAGGACAGTACTGTTCTAAGGACCAGTTTCCCATACTTCCTCAATTCCTAAATAATGGGGTCTCTGAATCCAAAGTAAAGAAAGATGTGTGCAGTGGGTGGCACACTGGACTTCTAGTGACCAAAGAAAGGTAGAGAAGACTTGCCTGGGCCTCCCTGAGGCTCTGAGAGGAAATCAGAAGCCCTGTCAAGGCAGAGGCGGATCCGGGCCACCTCTTGCAAGTATTCAACTGAAGCCTCATTGGTAGGTGCTTGGCCATGTCTTACTGGGGAATACATCTTGAGGAAACGGCCTTCCTCTCTTAAGTAGTTCAGCTTATCATTTCTGGAGCAAGCACTAGTCTTCTCGTGTATTGAATCCTAAGGAACAAAGAACAAGAAAGAAAAGAAACAAAGGAAAAGATATTATTATTTTTAATATGCAAGTTTCCAACCTTCTGAAATTGCCACAGTGGGACTCTGTGGAGAATGAAGGAAGGATAAAGAATATTCTAGGTTTTGGTGTACATTTTTTGAATCAGGGAAAACTAACATGCCTTGTTATTTTAGGAGAAAGGAGGGAAGAAGTGCACCTATTAGGAAAAAAAGTGTTATATAATCTAATTTCTTCCATCTACATTATAAAAATCTTAGATATAAAAATATGAAGATAATAAAAATAAAAGGCATTCATAGTGTCACCACTGATGATAACCCATTAACTTTGGTGGCATGTTCTTCTAGGCTGCTCTTTTTTTTTTTTTTTGCATGTAATGTGCACATAAATGCCAATGTATACAGTGGCTGAGGACAGAAGCAATGTCTCTGAAACCTTTCTATTTTCCTGCATGGAACCAGGGAATCTGTTAACTGTACTGACTAAAATTATATTCTGTAAATTTTCAGAGATTTTTTTTCATTGCATAAACCATGTGGTTCAGAGAGTCTGCAGAAGAAGGGCAAAGAAATGAGAATAAGCTCACCTCCAGGCAGTTGATAAAGAGCATATACAGTTCCGTTTTATCTTCAATTATGAACGCTTTCTTTTTTAATGTGGACAAGTAGTCCTGGATATAATCTTTCACTTCATGGAAGCTGTGGAAAGAGCAATATTATTTCTGCTTATCTTAGATCTAGAGACTTGTCTTATGGAAAAAAAAGCATGTGTCTATCAGTCATCTATCCATTTCTTTATCTGAGTGTGTGCCTATGTGTAGAAATACATACATATATATATAGTTTGTAACATAATTTTACTGAAAATATTTTAGCACAATACTCAAGGAATATAGTCTTTAAAAATATTGAGATCCCAAAGAGCTTTTCTTTATATGGATCATATCTATCAATATTTATGATATAAGAAATTACTAGAAATTAGAAAGTAAAAAATAAAAAATAGTTACCAATTCATTTAAAATAATGAAACTGTTACGTTTTTTTTTTTTTTTTTTTG